GCCGCCGCCCCCGCCGCCGGCGGGCCCAACCCGCCCCCGCCCCTCCCGCCGCCCTCCGAGAAGTCGATGGGCTTTCCCGTAGACGGGTCGACGATCTCGAGAGCGGCTCTCCTCTTCGGGGGCGCCGCGGGCCCCCCAAGGGGGGACGGGGGTACCCCCACCGTACCGCTCGGGCCGCCCGCGCTGCCGGGGGCCGCGGGAGCCGCCGGGGTGGCGCCGCCGCCGCCGCCGCCGGCCGCCGAGCCTCGGGGACCCCCGGGGCTCGGAGGGGGGGGTCCCCCCGCGAGGCCTGGGACTTGGCCCGGCATTCCCTGGGGGGGGGGGGAACACAAGAAGGTTGTTCAGGGGTGGACAATGTTACACGGGAGATCGCACGGCACGTGTATGAAACGAAAGCACTTACTGCTGTGATAATATCTACGCGACGAGCATCGTGACGTCGGCGTTGCCTATACTTCCAAGGTATGGAGCAAAAAATAGCGGCCATTTTCGTGTCAAGTTACAGTAGCCGTTAGTTCCAAGATAAATGCATACGCTTCTGGGGGTGGACGCACACAAGGGCCTCTTAAAAACACAACAACACGGCCGTTCTCGCTCGCTACGAGGAGTGCTCACAGCCCACAACGCCTCTGCAAATCACTACACTCCATACACACGAATGTACCTGCGGCATTCCCATCCCCTGCTGCGGGATGAACCCTTGCGGGTACATCCCCATCTGCTGCTGATACATCATGCCTGGTTGCGCGAACTGGTGACCTCCGGGGGCAAACTGGCGAAAGGAGGGAGGGGGGGGGGGGGGGAGAGCTGTGGGTATGCGGGAGAAGGAACCAAGCCACGGCTCATCTAGCGCATGGATTCAGCAGTAGTGGACGCACGGTCCTCAGTTCGACTGCCATTGTACTGTCCCGTACGCCGCCCGGGAGTCTCGTAGCGTGGCGGGCTAGGCTAGCGCAACGACAAACCGGCAAATTTTCGAGCACCACGACGAAAGAAAAGAAGTCCACAATCCCGACAACAACAACAACAACAACAACAACAACAGCATCATGGCTCCCTCGAGCTTGCCTCGACCAGAGCACACACGCACTACCACCACAAAAAATAACAGGGATTGAGTTGCAGCATGCTCCGAGACGGATTGCGGAAGACCCCTGGGCAAGCGCTTCCCTCGAACCAATCTCATCTATATCCAACGTTACCGCCTAACACAACACAAGGCTCACGATCTTCCAACTACAAAGCACACCTGCATGGGCACTCGGTGGTACATCATCGGCTGCTGCTGGGGGTGCTGCGGGTGGTGCTGCGGCTGGACTTGCTGACGCTGCTGCTGCTGCTGCGGCTGCCCGTGCTTCTGCGGCTGCTGCTGCTGCTGCTGTTGTTGCTGGAGCGGCATTCCACCGCCCGCGGACCCTGGCGCCCCCTGCTGGGGCCCACCCGGGCGCATCATGGGCATCTGCTGAGGAGAGCCTGCTGCCATGCCCGTTCTCCGCGGAGATCCACCCGCGGTGGGACCACCTCGCATCTACCGACAAAGTAGCAGGAGGATGAAAACAAGAAAACACAGAGAAAATTAGGAGGGGCCGAACCGGCCTGTCGTGTGGCGCATCGGCCGACAAGGAACAGGAAGGGTAACAAAAAAAAAAAAGTTCGAATGTGGAACTATCTCGAACGGATGGTCTGTCATTGATCGTACATACTTTCAAAGAGAGAGAAAAAAAAAAAAAAAAAGAGGATACAAAGCAGGGACCGATCGGGCAGGAGAACAAGGACGTCGTGTGGCTGAAAGGTGAGCCATCACGCCTCTGGGACTGCTTTCTGGTGCGAGCAATCACGAAAAATCACAGCCCAATCCGAACATGGTGCGCCTGCTTGTCGAACGAGGAGTCTTTGGTGAAGAGAGAAGGAACTCATGGCAAGACTCAAGGCAGACGCTTGGCGTGGGAGCAAGCAAACATACAACTCGGGAGGCGTGGAGTTGACGATAACGCCGGTCACCCTCGGAGCCTGACACCCGGGGATGGACAAGGGGCGACGATAGAAGGACCGCACGCCCGCGCACAACAGCACGGGGACGGGACACGGGGTCGCAAAATCAACAACAACGTCATCTCAGCACCAACACCAACCAACAAGACTCGAGAGTTTCATGTCTAAAGCAGTACCTGCTGCATGTGCATTTGCCCCTGCTGCATGGTTCCTCGAGGTCCCATTCTGCCGCCCGCCTGCTGCGGCATCATCCCTCGTTGCTGCATCTGCGAGACCAAACACCCCGAAGAAGTAAGGCCGAACGGCCACACGAGGGGGGCACGAACAGCAGATGAACGCCAACATCATCAACGGCAGCACAGCAAAACACAGCACAGCACAGCAGAGGACCACAAAGGGTAGAAGCAAACACGTACGTCGTCGGCGACCTCGTCAAAATGCTGACCCGCGTTAACGCCCCCTCCCAACACCAAACAAAAACACATTTCGAGTGCATTCCCTTGAGCTACATACACGGCCCTCTCTCATCTTTCGCGAGCAATTCTTCTCACGTTATGGCCGTGCGGGTGCTGCTGCTGCTGGTTCTGTTGTTGCTTGTTCTGGTACTGAGGGCCGGGCTGCCCCATCTGCGGCCTGCCGCCAGCCATCATCCCCCGAGGCTAACCCGACAAAGAGACAGCCGCGGGAGACGAATGGGCGGATCAAAAGGAGCCAAAGAGGCAGTACCGATGCGCGCATGCAAACACACGCGTCAGTGGGGGCGGAGACATGCTTAGACTCGAATAAGAGGCGTGAAATGTTGACATGTTCCAATACGTTCCTCGAAAACGTGGCGAAACATTGGCCTCGAAATACCTACAAAAACACGAAACATCATCAGCATCTGAGTGCGTGCAGACTCCACGAAGACCTCGAGAGCACCAGCACTAACGTTACACCACCTCCCAAAGCCTCCATTCAAGGAAAGGTACACTCCTCCTTACTGGACACCTCAACAGCTCAAACAGACAAAGCACACGACAACAATCTCCCGGCATCTATCAATCACGTGCCACGTGTATACATGACATAACAGTACCTGCTGTTGGGCGCCCGGTGGCTGCTGCTGCTGCTGTTGCCCCTGTCCCGGATGGGGTGCTCCTGCCCCTCCCGCCCCCTTGGCCGCCATCCCCGGCCCTGCACCGGGACCGGGGACGGGGCCCATCTGTCCGCCCCCCGGGCCGGGGCCTCCGGGAATAGGACCTCCCTGCATCCCCTGCTGCTGCTGAGGGCCACCGCCGCCAGCGGCGGCGGCGGCAGCGGCGGCAGCAGCCGCGTTGTTGTTCATCTGCATCTGCGTCTGATTGCGCCACGCTATCTGCTGGTAGTTGAACTGCGCTTGTTCCGCGGGGGGCGCCGACGTGGTGCGGAACGGCGTATCGATCTGGACGATACCGTGGGGCAAAAGCGAGAATGCGGACGGAACGGGGAAGAAGACCGACGCAAGGGGCGGCGGGAGAGGCGCTGTGAAGGAACGTTAACAAGTCAGCGGTGAAAATCGTGCAGCCTCGCAGGTTGATTCGAGGAAGGCAGCCACAACACGAAACAGCATAGACGGGGAAGTAAAGGAAAACGACGCCTCGAGTCGGGCTGAAAAGTTTCCGTGTTCCAGCCTGGAGGTTGTGGTCGGGAGGCACGAGAGAAACTAAAAGAGGACCTCGACCACAAAAAAAAAAAGAAGCAAGTAGAGTTCACTGCTGTAGTGAGTACCCACCTACAAAGGCAACACAATCAGACAAACATGGAGACCGAAGCACTATTTACAAAAACAGACCCTGCTGGTATAGGACACAAAAATTCGTCACGTCTACTGCCATGTAGTCGAAATGTAGACTAGAAGTATTGATTTGGTGAGACCTGTCTGCGTCGTCGACACACATGTATGCATTGCACAACAGGCGTGTTCACCTCACAAGCGCTCGAGGAAACTCTCGAGAGAGCGCCTTTGGCTCCGCGATCGGTTCGAAGAGACATCGTTGCAGGGATGCACGGCACCATCAGACAAACATGCCACTGCTGCAGAAAGACTCACGAGCGCGGCTCCCCTGAGAATGATCTCGAAAGCGCCGTGACAGGGCTCTGTGCGATGATGGTACTGCATGTTCTGTATAGACAAGTTTTGCTCGTGCCGTGTTCATGTCCACGCATGTAAGAAAACCTTTCACAAAAGGGCGGGACTCAGGGCGGGGGGACGTCACGGCTGAAAAAATACGAGGGGTGAGCGCATCCCACTCCACGGTGCCCCTCTTCGGAAATATCTACAGCAGTGCTACCTCGCATTCGTCCACGGGTCGCGTTGCTTCACAATAAATGATGCAACAAGGAACACCACCAGCCTTCCCGAGGGTATCCAGCATATCAAAGGGGGTTAGGCTGGGGCTTAACGTTAGGGTTAGGGTTGATACGACCTCCTCCCTTTTCACATATAGTGTAACGCTCAAAAACCCCAGCAAGGCGGTCCAGGAAACCTTCGAAGATTCGGAGGCTTGGCGTAGATATGATAAGTCTTGGGCATGCCGCCTGGGGTTCTCGCCCCCCTCTCGAAAAACTGTTGTTGTAACACTCAATCTGCTGTGTCGTGTAGGAATTCAACCGACTCAACGACGTCCACATTCAAGCATGCGTCACTCAGTCCTCACCATCGAAAAAAAAGGTGTGGTTCGATTTTTAGCACAATATATGCATGTGTGTATGCCGCGCCGACTTGCGGCCCCGGAGTTTTACCCTGTCGAATGATTCTTGTTCGGAGTGTTGGCTGATAAATATGATGTTGTGCATCATCACGGCGAGGCTTGTAGACTGCTGTACACTCTACAACATCACTCGCCCTTACAGAGAGCAATGTTGCAGGGTATACAGCAGTCTAGCCTCGCCTTGGGAGATGAGCGAAATTTCAGCCAACAACCAGTGCGAGCGAGAATCTTTGGACAGGGGTAAAAACATCCGGGGCCGCAAGTCGGCGCGGCATAAAACATGCATTGTTTGTGTCGACGGGGTACATGTAGTACGCAGGTCGTAAAAAAAGCGGTGCAACTGGTGGCATTAGCCAGCTACCATACTTAATCGGCTTACACCCAAGCAGGCAGCACCAAAGGGACGAAAACGAGCCTGTGAGGCTCTGGGCACTTGCGGCACCTGTACTCGGGCGGCTTCCCGAACAATACGCCTCGACAAATAAATTCTTACAACATGCCTTCTGTTGTGTTGTGTCTAACCTGGGTGCGAGGGGCCGTTCTAGAGATAGTCCTAACAAAAAAAGAGCAGTGTACACACGAACCCACAACAAAGAACCTCGAGGCGCTACGTTGTACTACAATTGTTAGGTTCGCCGCAGGGCGGAGCTTCGTGTCGGAGGGTTCATTCAGCTCACACAAAACACGATACGGTCATCGTAAGAGGGGCTGGGCCCGTTGGTACATTCGTGCACGGTGGCACGCACACCGATCAGACATATCATCGCTACGGCGCTGCGTGCGTGTCAGCATCTTCCCATGAAATACTTGTTACTGCGACGGAACCCGCCGGTTTCCGGCCCGTGATGAACACCAAATAATAATCCACACACCGACAGGAGACTATCTATTCGACGGGGCGCCAGTCACCCCAGAGGGCAGACAAAACCTCAACAGGCGCTGCCCTCCGAGGGTGCAATCACATGGGGCCGGACACGACCTTGTTGGAGATGGTATATTTTAACAGCAGTCAACACGTTCCACAAATTAATTCCATTCCGTTTATGTATATGCATACGCGCAACTATTACCTATGCCGCCTGCCCGTACATTTGTAGTGTGGTACCCGCGAGAACCACCTTTTTCTGGCAAACAACTCGCCTTATTGGCTGCTGCAAAGTGTTGCCGCCCGGGGTGTGAAAGTCAGCAGTGGATCGATCGATAAGCCGAGCAAAAACAGGGGCTGGCGTAGGCAAGCGCGCGGCCCGCACCATTCTGTTAATGACATGCGCCCGTATTTTTGTGGGCAGCGTTGGAGGCGGAGGGTGTGGTGCAGCAGTCACACACAAGACATGATGGGGTCACTGCTGATTCCCAGATCGAAGTTTGGGAAGCCTTCCGCGTGGATGAAAAAATTCGGTTGCAGGGAATCCAATGCTGTTCCACATGGGTGCACGACCGACTGCGACCATTTAGTCGAATACTACACGACTTCCTTTCGTTTTGGCTTACACTTCCCAGATAGGGTATAGACGTAAAGACAGACAGCAGATGGATGCCCCGCGGCCCCACGACCAGCTTGATTCATTGTTGGTGAGATTTTTTTCTGGGGTTGACCCTTTCAACAAAGCTTTTTTCTCACCGCATGCTCAAATTGCTGCGCCCCTCCCACGGACGGCTTCGGCTGAGCAACGCTCCCGCCAGCATCTCCTCCCGCCCCGCCCTTCCGCGCCTTACCGCCCGCGCCATGGTTCTCTGCAGACACGTACACACCACAGCAGCAGGTGAATCCATTTTTGGGAAAAAATGCGGTGCGGTAACGAGGGCGGATGGAAAGGGTGGGTATTAGCTGTTATAGTCGGTTTGGTCTTCGCATTTTGCGGGAAGGTCACGCGGCTTATTTATTGTCACCGTCACTTCCTCAGGTGGATCGCAAAACAAGCTTGGCGAGCTGGGGCAACCAACAAGCGAGCTACGCACCTCGGTGGGACATTGTCGCTGCAGCCACCCGCAGTGCGGCTGCGGAATCTCCGGGTTCAAGGGCTCGGCAAGGCGGTGTTTGTCTCTGTTTCTGTTTTTTGCTTTTTTATGTCAGGGGGTTTTGGGCCACGGACTCAACGAGACCACCCGAGCCATGCTGCTTTTCTGCTTTAAAGACCAAGCGAACGACCTAGGAAACGCCATCATCGTGGATTTCAGCCGCTCCAAAGGAAGGACAGAGGGCGGCATGCTGCATCACTCCTGGAATAGAGCGCCAGGGGAGGCGCTCTCCATAACGATAATCAACGTCGTGCACGGTGTGTGGGCAAACATACACCACCGCAGACAGCAGCAGAACCCGGTATCTCTGCTGACCGATGGGGTACAGCAGCATCTCTCATCTCGTTTCGGGGTTGGCGCCGTGTACACAGGACGCTGATCCGAGCGCCGCTTGGTCAAAACGTGCATGCAAAGGCTGGGCATGACTGCTGCATCTACTTGAGGTTTTTCAACTCACGCTTCCTGTTGCCTGCCCCTGCCGTGGACGCTGAGCCGCTTGTTGCTGGGCCTTTGGTGGCCTGTGCACCAGAGCCTGTGGGGCCCTGGGCTGCTGTTGCTGCGCCGCCGCCGGCGGAGATCACGGGCGCTGCAGCCTGCGCTGCGCTTTGTGGGCCTGCATTTATCTGAGTGGGCCTTGCGGACATGAAGGATCTAACCTCTTGTTGTAGAGCTCCCGCTCTCTTGTTTTGACACAGCAACGGGTTCGAGCCCGTCCCGCAGAGAGGGGGGCGGGGATGATATGGGAATGCCCCCGGGCGCTGCACAACACGCCTCCAGCGAAAGGAGATTCGGAGATCTGGGTGGGGTCTTTTCGACAATCATGTTGTAGGGACGCGTGCTTGTTGTGTGTATTCCGGGTCTCTACGTCCCTACGTCTCTGCGGTGCTTGCTTCCCGCACAACAAGAAAGTTTACTCCAAGGCACTTACAGGCCAAGCAAGCTTGTGGCGTCCTGCTGGGAGCAAATCGGCAAGGCAGCAGACTAAATAATAGCAGAAGATCTTCATCATAATCTACGACATCTATCTACATACAGCGCATTTTCCTGATTCTACTTTGTTGTATGTACAGACCGCACGGGACGGTGGCCTCGGCTGTCGACTACATCAGCAGTACCTGGTATGACCTTTGTAAAGTTGGCCCGCCTGGTATTGGCTGCTGCCCACACCGACTAGACGAAGGCGGGCGGTTCATGATGCATCTCTTTCCCAGATGCGCGTCCCTTCGAGGACTCGAGTGTGAAATCTTCAAGCTTGTTGTGTCGTCCACTCGAGCATGCCGCCGGCCGCGGCAACCTGGATCTAGTGAATGCTCTGATCGAGGCTGGGGCGGACGGGAGCGCGGGATGGAGGGCTTGTCGAGGTCGCACTCTACTCGACGCGGCTGCTGTCGGTGGAAGCGCACAAGCGTGATCACTGAATGCCTTGCTCCGTGCTCGGGCTCAGCCGGACGTTGACACTGTGTCCATGTCCCCCCAAAGAGATCGGCTCTGCACGTGGCAACCGTGTGCGGTCACGTGGAGGCGGTGAGAAGTTTGATTTATCGCTGGGGCGGACGTAGGCTTTGAGGGCCCCCTTGACCAGCGCTGCGTCCTGCACGAGGCCGTGCTCGGAGGCACCAACGACAGCTAGCTGGTGAAGAACGAGTTGTTGGTAGGACGTGCAGACCCTCGCCAGGGTCATTACGGTGCAACTGCTCTCCACCAAGCTGCCGCAGGAGGGCACGTGGAGATCGTGTCCAATTTATTATTGCTCGCGGGTATCAACAAGGATGCTGGTGATGATTCTCAGGGCGATTCGGCCCTGGTTTGGGAGGCAAGCAGCGGTCGTTTGGAGGTATGTAGTGGAGACTCTGCTGAAGGCCGGTGTCACTGTGAGTAGTTGGAGGGCCACCAAGGGCCCCTTTTCAGCGCTACACATTGCTGCTTCCGGTGGGCATGTATCTATCCTCTAGGATATCCTTGTACACGGGGAGCGTGCAGACTCTTCCAAGCAATGGACACACCGTTCTCCATGTTGCAGCCAGTTACAACCAAGTGGGCGCTATAGATGCGCTGAGTGAGGCCGGGGTAACGTCAACAGGGAGTCGGAAGAAGATGGGTGGACGCCACCTTCCCACACCGCACTATACAACAACCGCGAGGCCATGCTTGCCCTTTTTCGGCATAGAGCTGACACCAATCCTTGCGGTGACGGCATGTGGCAGGACATGGTATTGCACCAGGATTGCCGTCACCAGAACCCCGGCCCAGAGTTGGTGGTGGACCTGCTGTTGCGATGGGGAGCGGGCGAAACAGACTGGGGCATCGACGGCAAGACCCCGGCGATGAATCTCGATGTTCTTCCAATTCACTGCACCTGCTCCCCAACTAAGATCGAGGGTGTACGACTTCTGCTAGCCCCCAAGCCGGCAGACAGAGTTGGAATCGCCGGTGTGGCCTGATCATGCTTCATTCTCGCTGTACAACGGCAAACGGCTATGAGATCGGTGGCGAGACCGGCGTTTCTTTAATGCAAGCTGTTGACCGAGCAGGACAGAGCTTGAAAAACGCGAAAACCAAGGAGAGAACCTTAAAGCATGGGGTGCAAAGTTGGAGCTGGAGCTGAAGCCAAAGGTGCGGGACTGAGCAGTATAGTGAAGTTTCTGGTGGGTCTTGAGGTGCAGGACACATTCCGCACGATCGTGGGCTTCCTGTGAGGGCGCGCTCCGACCAAGAGCGTGGGGGTTTCGGCAACGAATGACATGCGCACTTGGAGAAGCTAACGGTATCACTGTGGGCTGAGTGTCCGGTCGTACATGCTTTCTCGAGTGCTCTCCGTACCGGACTCTACACGAGCCAGCATCAGCTTGTACGCGCGGCGGGTGTAGGAGCGGTGGCTTCCACGATTGATTTCAAATTTCGACAGCGTATGGGGTTTCTTCGAGACTCTTCACCTGCCCATGGGTTTATGTGCATCCGGTGACACAGGCTCCTCAATGCGGGTCTTTCCGCGCGGCGCGTCACCAATGCTTTAGAGGTTGGCAAGCGTGCCCGTACCGAATTACACTGAAGGAGTCTGATTTGAGAGTTACCTTTCAAGGCGGTGCAGAGTGGACAATACGCGGATGATTGGATGTTTTTGTTGGTAATGTTTTGATCGATTCATGGCTGCACTGAATGTGAGAGGGGTTGGCTAGGGGTATGAGGTGTGATATGATTGGCCGGCTGTCGATGCTACGCGCGTGTCTCGAAAAAACAGTCTTGAAATGCTTGGCCCCCTTAACCATCTCCTGGTTGTGCATCGCCTTTGAAGTGACAAAGGGGCTTAGTAGAATTATGTATGCCGGGTCACGACACCAATATACGTAGATCGGATAGTCAAGCATGAGCAATCTTGAGTCCAGATTCCTCCCTCCCATGCCGATTTTCGACCGCCCCATATCTGATGCAAAACATGACTACGCCCCGCCCCCCCTCGCTCGAAGACCGGGTTCATGTACTTGGGGAGTGTTCATTGTACAAGAAGGAGAGGGACGTGTACATGACTGAGCTGGGAAAATAGAAGGGAGGTACAGGGAGATGTTTGAGGCATGGAATACTGTAGCGAGGAAAAGGCGATAGCCGTACTGGGGCATAGACAGTGGGTTGAAAAGGCGGGAAGTGATATCGATAGGATAGACAGACAACATGTAGGGAAGACATTTTTGAGCCACCTTTGGCAAAGTAGGAAGGGGCGATTGGCCATCGGTGATCATCGGTCCTGTGGGAACAATGCTCTGTCCTCTCGATGACGCGTGGTCAATGGTCTAGTCGCTAAGGCATGCAACACATACAAGTACCCCCGCTCGGAGTACCCGGAAAGTATCCGCCCCCTCCCTGACCTCCCAACGCGACCCATGGTAGGCCGTACGGATTGTGGTTAGATGTTGGGCCAGACGCCGTGTGGATGCTCGGTCGGCCGGTGAGGATTGACTGTATTCTCCAAGAGAGAGGGGCTACGTCGACCCAGCGTTTTTCGATTTTTGTCTACAGTAGCCCCACACGCCTGGCGGTTGTCGCCGACGAAGTTGCTATAGAGTACAGTAGTCCCGCATGCCGAGGGCAGGACAAAGGGCATCACGGCATTGAGGTGCTCATATTGGCATAACGAGTTGTTTTTCATTTCACCTCCAATCTTGGATGAGTTGTTTTTTTATTATTAGGATACTCTCTTGTGATTCCTGATTACTTAATTTCTGAATTCTTGTTTGGTGTTACTGCTTTCAATCGCTATATAACATATCGATCCGATCTCTGCTCGTACTTTCCAATACCTTCCAAGCTTTATACAAATCCAACTAGCACGCATGTCTTCCATACTGTTGAGTCAAAACCATTTTACGGCTACAGAGAGGGTGCCTCAGACTCCCGGGATGTGCCCATCAGATCCATCGGCACTATACCAGGCACCCGCCACTTTTTCAGAGAATGGGACAACTTGAACCTTGAATTTTCTGTCCGTGGGCCTACGGACATTTTGGTTGGATATGTCTGCCGTATGTTTTTGTGTCACGCAGATGGTAGAGACTAGTGTACTGGTAGGGGTGCCGTGATGATACACGGGGTTCGTGCTTAGTTGCTTCCTGTCGGCACTCCCTTTTCACGCCACGCCCTGGTACGGGCGTTGTCTCATTTCCTGAAGTCAGTACACGCGTCAAGTACGCAGTACGATTGCAAACCCATTCCATCCGTGTCGTGCGATTTCACCGGGCGTGATACTATTCACTCGGCACTGTTGAGGGATTCCACTTTACGGTGTTTCTCTGAGAGAACATAACGCGGACAACAGTGACTTGACGACAACGAGCCTCGTAAACATGTGAGCCTGACTTTCTGACGAAAACAAACCTTGCGAGTGGGCTGCGCTGCCTGGCCGGTACTTCTACACACGCTATCCCGAACAGAAACACGGCGAGCAGCCAGTTGATGCTTCGACTTCGACGTCTGTCCGCTGTCACAAAGGCGCACCCCGTGAAACCTCGTTCTTGGGGTTAATCTCATTTAGTTCATGCGCCATTCTTTCCCATCCTTCCAGTTCAACGTCCGGCTGCGCGGCCGGTGCGTCGCCGGGTTCCTCAGGTTTGTCTTTCGGTACGCTTCCAACGTTTGCCCACTTCCGGCAGCCGAAAAGGCATCAGTAGAGGTAATAGATGACCCCACGCTCGAGGCCAAACTTGGGGTCCCTACTGCTCTATCCGCCCTCCAGGTCGGCGAAGGGGCGACGTGGTAGGGCCTGGACAGCTCTGTGTCGTTCCACGGTCTCAAGTACTTGGCGCGGATATTGTTGAACGGGACCACGTCCACGAAACAACCACGACCTCCACCGCCACCATGGTCGAACGATCTTCGTGTTGTCGCGGTATTTTCGTCGTCGGTGACGCTATCCAACCTCGATACCGCAGGCGCCTCCGGCTCCCCGCCGTCACCCATCGAGCACTCGGGCGCAGCCCGATCTACTGGCCAACGCCGGGCAGTCTCGTCGCCGTGCACGAGCCCTCTGCCTGCTCCATCCTCTTTTTCGCTAGACAAGGAAACGTCCACGTTGGCACTGCTTCTTGACGGGGAGAATCCTGCAACGCTGCCACTCTCTCGGCCGTTGGAAGAAGCCGCGTAATTCGTTGACGTGCTGCCACCGTCGGCCGGCAGCAGCCCTAGCCCGTCCTCCTCCCAGTGGGGGTCGTCCCTGGGCGTGTCCATCTCGACGTACCCTCGGTAGCGCTCCGCGTCCGTCGATGCTTTCACGACGCGGCGACGGTATGCCTCGAGCCCGCCCCTCTCCTGCCGAGAGGCCTCGATCGTGCGGGCGTAGGTCCGGGCGGCGTGATCCTTGTAGATGTTGGCATACCTGGCGTACACTCCTTCGCGCGCGACAGAAACGCCGTGGAGTTTTCGCTGCCTCGCGGTGTCTAGGCGAACCTGGTTGGCGTTGGAACCACGGGGCGGTGATCGCAAGATTGACCAAGAGTTTCACGAGCATCGACCGGCACTCAACACTTTCGCATTATCTAGCTCGTTTGTCCTACCATGTCATTCCCTCGGAACGTCTACCTGCAACGCTACGCATGTAAGTGAAGGGTCACGTTTGTTCTCGGGGAACGATTTTCTACAACACAAGGGTGCAACACTTAAATGAGAACGGGTCAAGCTCGTTCCAAGGGTACTGAAAGCTCCGAGAGGTAAGGTGAAGTCAGTGGTACGATCGGCCGGACTCGACAATAAACTGAAGTCCTGGAAGATTTTGCAGTTCTGGAAGCATCTCCACACTCGTACTTCAATGCTGGAAGAGCTGTGCCTTGCCTGGGCAAATATTTCGATGTGCCACGGGGCGGGAGGCAATGCTGCCGATGCACCCTTGGTAGCCCCCTCCCCCTCTTTGAGGACGGAGTAGTCCTTCGCGAGCACCGCGGCGACCTCCAGGAAGCCTCGGAACTCCGCACTCTGCCAAGATATCGTAAGACAGATCGGGTAGGCAAACATGGGTGAACACTGGCCTCGGATCCATGGGGCGTAAGTAATAATAATTGTCAGATTGGGGGGAGGAAGCTGTACCATTTGTTTCGACTGAACCTCTGATGAAACCTCGGCAGCGAATTGTTGTAATGGTGTGTGCAAGGGTCGAGGGGGATCAGGCAACTGCGGCTACTCTCGCGTAGATAATCATTCGTCCTCGGAAAAGACGTCCTCTTGTTCATCCACTTTTCGAAGCGAGGGGAAGTGTCGCTTACTTGGCGAGGGGACCAGCTGTCGTGATCCAGCACGTCCACCTTCGCCCCTCCCTCGAGCAGCGCCTTGACCACCTCCAGGTGCCCTTGGTCGGCTGCGTTCGATGAACGATTCGATTTTGACCACCGCACACATAGGGAGAGAAGCGTAGCACCGGCACGACGCAGATGGCCTTCACTTCAACGCGCAGCGGTGGTGAAACTAACAAACATTTTTCATCATCTCTGGTGCTATACACTACACGGGTTCTGACGATGTGCATCTCGAGTTCTGACTCAGGTAGGCCTCCATAAACCCCTCACGCTGCATATATATATGTGTGTGTGTTTTGCGGTTGGCTCACCCGCCAAATGCATTGCTGTGCGGTCGATCTAAACACCGTTTAGAACGCGGAATATTCGCCCAGTGCCGGCGCCCGCCGAAGTTCCAGGTGATCACGTCCGGGAAAGAGTGCAACGAGCGACATCAACAACGTGGTGTCGTGAGAAAGACGCCCAAGCTGCATGCATGGCTGTTAACACTCTGAAGTATTCCCGGAAGCTTCAGAGGTACTTCAAGTGAAGAAAGCTACAAATGTCGTCCAAAGGTGGCCCTGCCGGGTTATGCGAACCGGTGATTCCTAGCAATACAGGCACATCCCCACACAACCCATTAAATGTTGCCTTTGGCTTTCATCCCGGAGGTGCCCCGCGGCTGCTCCAGCGTGTTCGTCTTCACACCGTACCGAACCTCTCTAGAGGCGAAAGACTTGTTCGATTTCCTGGCTCGAGACACCGAGGCACAATCAAAAACTCAATCATATCGTGATGAAGAATCTCACCACATCACGTGCGTCGGGGTCAATGTCCTCCTCCAGCAAGCGCCTACAGACGTCAGCGAAGCCCGCATTGGCAGCGACGTGAAGAGGGGTAGAGAGACAGTCCTGAAGCACAACAACGTGAGCACTAGTTGTTGGTAGGACATTGGTTGAATGAACAGGCAAAGAGGTTGTGCGGTAAGTGGTGCACATCAGTCTTGATATCAGGACAAGGTTTAAGGGGTTGCTCACCTTGGTGACGCACGATGCCTTGGCCTTTTTGCTGAGGAGAAGCTCGACGCACGCAAGGTGCCCATCCCGAGCAGCAAAGTGCAATGGCTTCCATCCTTGCTAGAACGCCATATCACGCAGCGGTAACGGTGGAGCGGTAGATAGAACTTGCGATGCGCGGGATTCATTTGTTTCACGCATTTGCAGTCTCAGTAGAGGCTTATGAAAGCTTGCAGGAGGGCATGCAGCATGCAGTTGCCGCACGCAAACAGAGCAAGGCAATCGTCGAAACATCGAATCATATTTTATGGTCGAAGAAAACCGTACGTCTTTTTTTTCTGAAAACGCTTTTTTCTGATGTGCCCATCCTGCTTGCGTATTCATGTTTCGTCCTATTGTGAATAATTTCCTTGCTTCGTCACCTCATCGTCCTGCACTATACGTCCATTACTCGTCTTCTGTATGCTTCTAGCCACCAATCTGCGTGTTGCCACCGTTGCTGCAACTATGGCTGCACGAACGTTTCAAAGTACACCTTCAACTACAACAACTCTAAAACGACCCTTCAGATAGGAAACACATGATGGTCCCGATAGATGTTTTGTACGTCAGCTGTGTTTGTCGATTTATCTTTGTTCTGTTGTCGTTTGCGAAAGTTCTAGGATGTGTCAACTGCGAACTGAACATCTACGACTTGGAGTACAGCAGCATACTGCGCACTGGTGGTGACGTGTACACTCCGACGTTTGCAACACCCGGAGCGCATGTCTACTAAAACGATGTTCAGATCAGGTATGCTATTCTGAAACAGATGTTCACGCAGCGGATTGCTCAAATTCGCCAGGGTGTGGGTGCTTTGATGTACTGCTCCTGGTATAGACGGGTTTCGGCACATCCGAGAGCAATCTCGCACGCGGGTTTCTAGACCACTCAGATCTGTCGCAGCATGCGCCCTCCTTTATCTGTCTTTGATCCAACCTTTGTCTTCGCCTCTAGTCGGGCGCCTCTATCCACCAGTACTTCGAGTAAATCGAGGTTGCCATACTTGGAAGCAAGGTGTGCCGGCGTCCAGTTTTCCTGAGTAACGACGAAATGTGCGGTAAGAACGTCGATGCACGATGGTCACCCCTTAGTGGTTGTTGTCTCAGCTCTCGTTCGTGTACATACGGCAACGCGCATCCTGAAGCTGCTCTATCATAGCCTAAAGAATGGCCTTCTACATAGAAATCTGGCCGGCATATAAAGTGCGTTATGCGGGAATAGATCCACGTCTTCAGGCCGCTCCTTCTCGTGAGGGTATCCACGTCGGTAACACTGCACGGTCAACGACGTTCAGCTTTTACGTGTCGATAAAGTCGGTATGGCCCTTCCAATTGCGACCGTTACATACATGTCAGTGAGGACATTTTGACTGTTCCGCGGTACTTCCACTCGTAGGCTTCTCAAGGCAGCGTCTTGTCAAGTTCTGCAGAGGAAGTCTAACCGTAGAAAGTCCCTGCAGCGTATTGCGGCAAGGAATAGCAGCTAAAAACCCGCGGCCAGCCTAGTTATGAGCCTTCCCACTGTGTACTGACGGGGGCGGGATATGCGAGGTCGCCTGGCGTCACCACGCCCAATATAATGAGTCGCGGAGCCCCAAGCTCGACCGATTTTTCCTTCACCCCAGGACGGAAAAAAAGGCTCAGTATACCGGCCTGTTCCGACGCGATGCAGGCGCCCAAGTCTGATTTTCTCCTTTTGTCCGGGCAACCGAGTATGCCCTTCTTTTCGACCAGAACGAGATCTATAGAGCACCGATTGACGATCTGCTGGCTTCTGAGGAGGATGGAAAATTGGGCACTCTTCGTCGCAACCAGTTTGGTCGTGCTCCGACAACAGATTGCCTTGTGTATCCAAAATTCGTAGTATATACCTCACCCCATCCCCTGGAGTTGCCGAGGAGGCGGGAATACAAAAGCGGAGATCTCAAGCGCGCGCGATTCAAATCAGGGAAGAAACAGAGGTGGCATACCGCTGATGAGTCTCTCACCCCCCCAGAATCCTGCCGTGGTCCAATCCCTATCATAGGTAAAACATAGCTGTAACAGTAGACCCGGTGCCCGCCCTCTGGCAAAAACAACAGGGAGAGTCTTGGCGTTTTTTTTTGCCGATGGAAAAATCGATGGGTGAAAATAGGATAGATTGAGGTCTTGCCTACAGCAGCAACAGCAGCAGCGAAGAACGAAGTTGTTGAGGCGGTTGGTGCTGTTGGCGCAGTCGCCACGTGGGACTCAGAACGATGTAGGGATGGCGTCTTTCGCTGGACAGCAATAGGGCGGGAGACAAGGGAAGCAAACAAACGACGCCCCCTCCAGCAAAAACGAAACAGAGAGAGACTGAGATGTTGACAAACGGTCCATGAGAGAGAACGAGCTGGCTTTGTTGAAAATGCGGTGCTCCTGCCACTGCCCATCTGCTTTCCACACCGCGCTGCCCGATGGGTTCTATTAGTGTAACTTACCCTGTCTATTGTTCACTTTTTGCCTGCGGCAGTGCTGTTAGGTGCCGCACGTTTGGCGGCACTGCTGTAGCATGGCGTGTGTCACGACGTGTGTGTGTGTATTCCTCCGCCGTTCGCTGGTCGTTTGACACCGGCGTGGAGAGGATGCACAGTCTTGAAGATCCGCTCAATATTTTCCGGATACGTATGCATGAAGTGCGGAGGAAGTCAACATCACACACAGCATCGCAGATACAGACTAGTGCAGGTATGAGCCGACCCCGCGGCTCAATACTCGTCCCTATCTTATACCATGGCCTCTTTAGCTGTGAAAGTAAATGCACATGGAACAGTTGACCTTCGGCAGATTTATTTCACTATAGTAGCTCGTATGGTACGTTCTGAGGCTCTCTCTCCCTCTCTACACCGTTGGGATAACCTAAAACATCCACACCATGTCCAACCGCTGAACGCCGGCATCAGCCTACGCGAATAGGTCTGGGGCTCCAGACAGATATCTCAACCTAGGGTAACGCTTGGATCACTCTCCAGAGCTAGGAAGGAAAAGCAACAGTGCATGGGTACTGCGCAAGCCCTACTCGCGAGGAGCCTCATGCGTGCAGTCTCTTTCGCTGTCCTATAAGTATTTTGAGCAGCATTCTGGAGGATGAAGACGCCGTCCAGGTTCGAATCGCTGTTGCTGCTACCGCTCCTGTTATTATCTCTCTTGGCCTCTGTTTACAGAACCTATAGTCTAGAACCCTCGAGTCTACTCTTGTCTACAATAGTCTACCCACGAACGACTGTTGTGTTGGTACCGTTCCGATCTCCGCTCAGTACCTTCTAATGTCCGTACTGGTCCAACTGACGCGGACGCCTTTCCGTGGTCACAAGCCAACTGCCCCCAAAGGTGGGTACCCCTTTCTAGAACATAAAAATTGACACCAGAAAAATTCCTCCAAGGCACGATTTGTTTTTCTTCCCAAACGAAAAGTAAGCCTTTTTTTCTGCGGTTGGCCACTTACGGAATCGGTGGCGTTTACTGAGAACCCTCGATGGTCCAGCAAGAATATAGCTTGCTCTCGCCGAAGAGTCTTCGCCATTGTTCCGAACAGTGGAAGATGCATGGCAGGCACTGCAAGCAGATACATCAGGGCTGCATGTTGTCACGCAGGCATGCTTGCGTGTAAAATTCGAGTGTGGTCTTCCTGTATGTGGCCAACAGATCGCATCGGCTCGACCGTTCGTTGTCATTCCATCCGCCTACTACATGGAAAGCGGCACAACAACTCCGCGGCGATTGGCGCCCACACACGCATCATGAGATCTCACCGTACGCAGCTGAGCGTCCGCATGTCCTGCACCGCTTCACCATTTTGTCGTTGACGCGGTTGCAGCAGTGGCATGGCCAAGGTTCTGTCGGTCCGTCCCAGTCATGAAGCACCCTGGGCGTTGTCATGGCGCATTCATGGTTAAAAATATGACCAATCAGTTCTGGCCTGGTAGTCATCACTCTACAGGAAAATTATGGTGGGATGTCGCGTGTGCGACACACCAATTGTGAGAGCACAAGGCATTCCCGGAAGCTATTTCCCGCGTATCGGCCACAGCAGTAGCGCGCCACAGCGACCAGCGATCAGCACCTCGGCGAGAAATCATGAACTTGAAGCGGCGCCGATTGCGCCGCTGGGAACCCCCCCCTCCTTCTATTCCGCCGCACTCGCAAGCTCGCAGCTAAGGCTTGTGTGGTGACTGGTGACCACACACACACATACCCTACGCCCCCGGTTCTACTCCGACATCCGACACCTGCATCTTCTCTGGTGCGTGAGATCGTTTTCTGTTTTACGCGCGGAAGTGTATTGCTGGAAGAGAAGAGGCGTGGCATCAACACAGGCGTTGATGCACGCACAGAGCAGCGTACCGGTTGCAGTGTCCGCAAAGCCTCAAAGCCTCCGAAGCTCCCAAGTACCCACAGCAGTAGCTGCGTGGACACACGCAAAGTACGCAGGACGTTTTGTTCGGGGATATGCCTATGACCCAAACGGCCCTGCTGCTACCGTCATGGCATCAGAGCTCCTTTTGGGCTTCTATGTTTGTTGGTTGTTAAGACCGTGAGACGCACGCACACCTGTTCCGTCAACACGTCAACACATCATCCCCCGGGACTGCAGACATAACTTCTCTTCATATAAGTCATGATCTTGGGGTGTTTTACTACTATATTACGCGGTGGAATTGTGCAGATCTAAACATGAAACGCCTGCACATGTTGGTTTTCCAAAGTCTAAGTCCCGTACGAATCTACTATCGTGCCCAAAGTGTAAACTAGTAGAGCGGTGGCCAAAATCGGGTACACCCGGTCAGAACACGGCCATAATCGGGTACCCCTACAAGACGCTGCTGGGAGCGACCGCATGCCACCATCTGATTGGCCGGCGCCCGCCCCTACCCGGCCTTGGCCGTCTTTCCACCGGGTGCACCCGATCTTGGCTACTCACCCCCCGGAGGGGTACCCGGTTTTTCTTTCCCCTACCCGAAAATGGCTGGGCTGTTCGACCAAAACCCATGCACACAATCACGGGTCGGACGCACACCACTGGCCCTCGTTTGTCGCCAATAAGCAAGTAGCGGGAAAGAGAAAATATGTCTATTTTTGAAATGAGTCCCGTGTGTGTCGCATCTCGTGAGGGAGGGATTCATCCAGCTCTTCTTCTCGATCATTTGCACAGACAGACCGCCAGCCGTTTCCACCAAGGGAGACTTCCACCGCCGGCGGAGGGTCTGCCTCCGCCCGACGGGCCGTCAGAACGTCGAATTTTCGAGGGCAGGGCGGTGCTGACGTGTACTTGTGTGCATGGGTTTTGGTCGAACAGCCCAGCCATTTTCGGGTAGGGGAAAGAAAAACCGGGTACCCCTCCGGGGGGTGAGTAGCCAAGATCGGGTGCACCCGGTGGAAAGACGGCCAAGGCCGGGTAGGGGCGGGCGTCGGCCGATCAGATGGTGGCATGCGGTCGCTCCCAGCAGCGTCTTGTAGGGGTACCCGATTATGGCCGTGTTCTGACCGGGTGTACCCGATTTTGGCCACTTCTCAAACTACATCTAGTCTAGTTAGGATTGTAGCCCTTCCGAAGTTTGGTGTTGGCTGACCTTTAGCGACATCTTCTGTGTAGTGGCCACAAAATTTACCCCTTGGAGCCATCTCTCATTCCAAGTTGCTCGGAGCATAGTAGCCGAGGCTACCAACGTGCTTTCTACAGCAGAGTTCAGGCGACAGTTAATAACTTGCTTGTCCTCGACGAAACACACAGCTCTCGCTGTGGTATATTCGGACCCCAACTACTTACGACTGAACAAGCTCGCGACTGGACATTTGGTGCGCAGCCCCCAAGACGAACCCACTTACAATAAGGCGGCGGAAGCCACCGAAACCCTCGTACAATGTTGGTTCAAATACGAGACGTCCATGCAGCAAAATGTGTCGCCCTTGTACATGGTTCGGTTATAATACGAGACATATTTGTATTTTCACCAAAATATGTCATTCAGTGAAGCTAGCCCCAAAACATCTCTCCCGATTATCTCCGTCGCACGGACTGCTGTTTGTGCTTTCGCCTAGGTCTTTCGCGTAGTCAAGAGAGCGACGATGCGCGTCGTTGTCCAGAGAGTGAAGCGAGCAAGCGTGGCGGTGGAGCACAAAGATGGAGACGGCACGTCCTCGGAACCATCGTCCGTTGTGAGCGAAATTGGCAAAGGGATCCTCTGTCTCGTCGGCGTCAAGGATGGGGACGAGAAGGGACATGCAGAGTGGCTCTGCAAGCAGATCGTGACGGCAAAGCTGTTCGAGGGAATGTCTGAGGCAAACGCAGACAAGAGATGGCGGTCTAACGTCAAGCAGAACGGCTTCGAAATACTGTTGGTGTCACAGGCGAGATACTAAAGCTATGCATGTTGTGAACACGCAACCGATCGGCGTTACCTAGTGCTTGGTCGCCAATGCACGTCATTCGGGTCAGTGTGTTATCATGGAAAGTTCGTTGCTTGCGTATCTGAATCATGTACTACAGATATGGTGCTGGATATTCGTTAGAACAGGGTATTAAGCTCATGTGAGAACAACAGCCATGGTGTCATTCGGCATTGAAGCTACAATGACAAGTGACACGCAAAAAGCCGTCCTGCCACCCCTGTAGTTCTAGTTGATAGTCGCAGATCGGGAAACACGTTCCTCTCACGCCTGTATTCGCACAAATTACCTACGTAAACTTTTGGGAAAACGTGGCATAGATTGACCAAGGATCGTGTGTACTGTGAGTGTCGACGCGCTAACTCCGGAGTTGTCCATCCACGGCGAAATCGGTATTGGCATCGATATTTGCTCGGACACCAGAAGGGCGCACAATGAAAAAAACATCTGAAAATCTACGTGCTGCTATACGTAGAAAACTGTTCTGCGATGATACAGAACGCGCCAGTAATATATTAGTAGTTCAGAAAGTGAGGGTTCGATTTCCAGAAGTATCAGGAACTTGGAACCATACCCACCCGAAAACCTAGTACTTTGTATTTGATTTCCGGTTGGTTTCTCCACTGATCAAGTAAGGAACGAGTTGCGCAAAATCAGATTTTCTGAAATGGTTGCACGTTCTGTATGTGTGTGTTGCTTCTTGAGATTTGTGACGGATCGAGCTTGCCCGGATGCCGCGGAAAGGAATCGTGCTGTTGTGGATCGTTTATCATACGTTAAATCTGGCCTGCGCTACACGAGATATGCATCCCCCCTTAACGGTTTTCTCTCGCCCGCCGTGTTTTGATGCCAATGGATTCTCGGCGGGCCACTCGTGGGGGCGTCTCACTCCACCATCCTATTCGACATAAACTCCTCGGAAATCGTGTATGTCGAACTGTAGTTTACCCTCAACGGGCGAGTGTGCTCCAAGGGCAAAGTGGACTTCACCGGTTCGATGCCCCCGGCAGAAGCTAGGGAGTTTTACAGCCGCTTTGTAGACATGGTCAAGAGCGCACACGCACCCGAACTGGTGAAAGACGGAGTGTTCGGGGCCAAGATGGAAGTATCGCTTGTGAACGACGGCCCGGTAACTGTGATCGTGGATTCTGGAGAGATGAAAAATGAGACTCCTCTGCCGAAACCGGAGGCGGGCGAAAAGATTCGGGATAAAGATCCCACTGCTGCACCAGCCTTGGATTCGAAGTGACGCCTGGGAGGTAAGATCCATCACTCTGAAAGCTTTTTAAGGATTCAGGCTCGCTTTTTTTAGTTACGGTTGCGACAAGATGATGTACGCGATTTTGAAGACAGCTCTGCGAAGACAATTAAAGGAATGCACAATTCTGGTTCTAGGGTTAAGGCCGTTTCCCGGCTACTTCCTTAAAACCACGTATATTTTCTGCGCGATGTTCTCGACATTCCGATTTACGATTTTGGAACCGGGCGGATAGAAGCAAAGCAATGCAAGTGGCACCTCAAGTGCAATTTTGGTACCAAAGTCGTTGAAGGGGTTTTCGCGTCTCAATTTCGGCCTGCGACAGATCTCTGGAGGAGGGGCAACGCTGTATGAGGCATTGCGGTTCTTGTCATCGCGTTCTCTCTCTCTCTCTCTCTCTCTCTCTCTCTCTCTCTCTCTCTCTCTCGCTCTCTGAGGGTGAGTACGGCAGGGGAAGAAGGGGGCTTCAGATAGAGGCCGGAGCTACCCCCGGGCTACGTTGGTGAATAATTTGCTTGTGTTGTTCTGGTAGGTAACGTTGGCAATAGCAACCCGAAACAATGCATCTGGACACCGCTATCTAGACAACAAAGGATACAAAAGCATTACACACCTGACTGTTCCCGTTCCCAGGACAAACCGTTGCTAACGGCCGAGGTGGGGGCATGCTGAGGAATGGCCACCGTCTGCTTTTCCAAAGATGGTATGCATACCATTTACACGGACGACGGCATTCTACGCAAGGCAGTGCACTACTGTGAAAAGGTGGAGAATTCCGTCGAGGTGGGAAGATTCAATGCATAGCCCATGGCCGTTCTGAGGAAAGGGTCTCGCCCGCAAAATGCGGTAAAGATCGCTGAACGTTGCACCACCACCAGAATCCTGCAAACCCACCGGGAGTAAGGGCTAGAGTGCTGCTACACAGCCGGTTTCGTGAGGTGTGGTGGCTACGGTACACTGCGAAGTCAACGTGTATAATGCACGGGATGGCCCAATGAGAGGCAGATGACAATCAGGTGTTTTTGCCTGGCAGCGGAGGACAACCGTCACCCTTGGTAATGTTGGGCGACGGTAGTCTGTGCTCTTCCACTAGCGTCAGCACGCAGAGCAGGGAATCTTGACATGAAGGCAAAGTTCGTACGTTTGCGTTGTGTTTTGCTCCCAAAGTACCTGCTTGAAGCTTCTTGGTAGTGCGGCACTTGTGATCCTATTTTTGGCCATTCAAACCACTTCTGTTTGGCACTACAGTAGGGCACTGGCCTGCTCGGAATGGGCCTCACTTTCGTGGGCCTAAATCGCCGAAGGAAGGGCGTGCCTTCGGCGTTGTATCCTGGACGGGGTGGTCCCACTGTACCCGGAAATCTAGAAAAGGTATCACGCCGTGGGGTTCCGATGTGATTCAGGAAAGCACCGCACTCACCCATGACAGTCAACATCAGAGAGCGGGTCGATTTTCGATCTATTTATTACTCCTAGGTTTAGTTTTCCGGCCATACGTTTTCTTGCCAGAAGGACTAAACAAAAGCCAAAGACAATTCCTCGGGATCCGCATTCGAATTCCCACACGCAAGTTTTGAGACTTCGGGGTGTCCGATGTGTCGAGAATAGAGATTCTCGAGAGTCGTCGTCACCACTCTATTCTGAAGCTTATTCTGAAGCTTTTGCTTCAGTCTCATCGTTCGATATCCGTGGGTGGGTGGAACTTTCATTCGCATCCCCCACCCCTTGCCCGACCCGGTCTAAAATGCTGATCTCGAGCTACAGTGCAAATCTCGTGGAGCCTCGAGTATGGTTCGGTGTGGAATCGCAAATCATGAGCCGTCCCCGAGTTTGAGCAGCTTCCACCTCCTGTGGCCGGCAAGAGTGGGCCTTGACTGTTCCTTGCCTGTTTCGCCATGGAAACGGCCGGTTGAACAGCGAAAGAGGGTCCTGCATGCTGCGCGCCACATTTTTTTTTCGTTTGTTCTTGAGTGACCGTTGTACACATGCGGCGGCTGCTGCCGCGGTTGCTGCTGTTATGCTCGGAATGTGCTGCAATGGTCGTAAGGTTATCGTTGTCAGGTTTGACAACAGTCTGCTCGTTCGTGTAGCGGTAGCAGTGCGCATCCATCGTGACGGCAAGCGCATCGAGACAATAGTTCGTCCGTCGTGCTTCTAGTTACACAGATAGTCGTGTTCTTCTTTGTTGTCACTTCATACCACAAAAATAGAGAAAGTCCTCACCAATTGTCTCCACAGTTCGGAAAATGCGGCTGCTACTGTGGAAATGCTCGGAAATGTGGTGCACTGGTCGTAAGGTTATCGTTGTCAGGTTTGACAACAGTCTGCTCGTTCGTGTAGCGGTAGCGGTGCGCATCTATCGCGACGTCAAGCGCATTGAGATAATAGTTCGTCCGTCGTGCCTCTAGTCTACACAGACAGATAGTCGTGTTCTTCTTTGTTGCCACTTCATACCAGAAAAAAATGAAAGTCTCCACAGTTCGGAAACGACAACTATTTTCTTTTGTTGTGTTTGTTGTTGCTGAGCGCACATCGGATGTCGCAGTTGGTTACACGTGTTCAAGCCTGCGGTGTGCCAGAGGGATGAGAGTGTGTGTCTTCTCGAGAGTTCATCCCTTGTCTTCTCGAGTCTCTCTTCCTTTAGTCTACCTCTCTCTCTCCCTTTGTCGCATTGCGCCGTTAGGGTCCCAACAACATCGAACGTCAACGAACGGCAATCGTTTTTCTTCTTGCGGAGTAGGAGGCTCCCCGTGTATCGGGCTGCTGCATGTGAGGCCATGGGCGCCGCCTCTTTCCGTCAACCAATGGGCATGGCCCCTAATGTTCGCTGCATGCAGTGTCAGTGCCATGGTATGTTACAGCTTCTACCGGTTCAGAGTGGCGATGGTGGTTTTTCACCGGTGGGGCCCCCAGAACAACGTGAACCGCGACTGTTTCATTGTTTTGGGGTCCCCCACACCCACCCACTACTCCAGCAGTTTTCGTTGGGGGTATGTTTTTCTTGCCATGACCATGACGTGGTGCCCCGAGTGAGTATGGTTCGATATGGAACCGCAAACCATGACCCCTCCCTGAGTTTGAGCATCAGCTTCCGCCTCCTGTGACGGACAGGAAGACCGGAAATTGTCTCGCCATCCTAACAACAGTTTGCCAGCTGAAAAAAGAGGGTCCGGTCCGCCGTAGATTTTTTTTTGTGTTTCCCTGCCGCCTAATAACCTCGGCCACGGCAGTGCAAATCTCATGGCGCCTCGAGTACGGTTCCCTTGGGAATTGCAAATCACGACCCCTCCCCGACTTTGGGTAGCTTCCACCTCCTGCGGCGGATAAGACCGACGTCAAACCCTAAAATTTGTCTGTCTGTGTCGCCATGTCGCCATCCGCGAACAGCAGTTGGAGAGCCAGGTCCGCTTCGCCACTAACCAAATGTGAAAAGTGCGTCCTCTGGGGTCCGCATTCATTTAGTCCCGGATCCTTTCCCAGCGTGCGGAGAGCGCGTTCTGGTGGTCTCCTTTTCATTCGGGTGTGATCGTGCGTACTACAGCACATGTTGTAAACCAAAGAAACAGATCAACGAGATCAAGGATGATTAGCGGGATTCTTAAAAGAAACCATGGAGTCGCTCGCCACAAGAAAGTGCATACGCATGGATGGGTGTAGTGAGAAGAAGTGCCGGTAGAAGACTGACGGTTTTTTCGGGTGCGCGTGAGGTCGCCTCAAAAATTCCATAAAACTTTTGCTTCAGAAACGACTTCTCCAAGGATGGGTAATGAGAGGTTTCAATTCAACTACAGTCGGCGGTCCTCATTAACGGTACCCTTAATGGCGGAATGCCCTCTAAAGCGGCACCGAAATCGTTTGGCACAAATTCGTTTCTCAGTACAAATCCCTAATAGGAATAACGGCACTGCCCTCTACAGCGGCACCAAAACCTCTTGTCACTACCTACCGCTATTGAGGACTACCGACTGTATTTAACTAAAACTGGAGTAGGAGGGCGCTCCTTAAATTCTTATGCATCACATGCATTGCATGTACCTGTAGTAGCGGACATTATTTAATCACAACCCCTTTCATCAATAATCACAGCTAATAATGAGAGTCCACGACGTCGAGGAGGATGGATGTCAAACGATACGTTTGTCTTCGGAAAGCTATCGGTTCCAACGTCGCCCGGCCATGCTTTCTGCTGTGGAGTAATCGAGGTTTGAAAATTAACAAGTGTTGAGGGGGTGTGATATCTTACATATGTCATCTACTCTGTGACAGCTTTTTCGTGCTCGGTGAGCGAGCATGTCGCGTTGTGCGCCCTCGACATCATTAACCGGTAAAAAACTGGAGAACTTCAGACAGGCACCGCGACGATACTCGTCGAGTTGCTATCACAATATTCATTCGTGGCCGGTTATTGCGATCGGCGGTTTCTTGCCCGAAACTGAAGGACGTGACCCGGGTTCAGGTTCGTGTACCGGGGAGTAATCGAAGTTCAGGTTGCGGGGAGTCGATGGCCGCTCACTGGAGTGTAGGAGGCCTTCTGATGCCCCCACTCCCGCCCCAACAACGTGAAGCTGTCGATGTTCTTTGAGGGATTTCAACTTGTGTTGCGGCTATAGTGTGAAGACAAATCTCGACCAAAGATTACACTATCTCCGTAGTCTCCGAAGAGATTTTGAGTCCGAAACCACGTTTTGTGAACCTCCCTTGATTTTAGAGTAGGCCGCCCTCTCTACAACCAAAGTCGCGCACCCTTACACCGGCGGGGCGGGTGTCGGAATTGGTCACGAACTTTTTGTTAGCTCTTCTTCCGCAACGGCGAAAGCTAGAGCCCCGTGCTCGGCCCCGTCTCATGCTCGAGCATTGTACACGCGTCCTCCGCAAATCTCGTGGAGGTTGTTCATGTCTGTGTGTCGAGCTTAGACGAGACATGAAACGCATCAAGTTTGTCTAGGTTTTGTCGGTCCGATCATCACATTCTTGCAACAGACACCTACCCTGCTGCGCTACGGCCACAATAGAAACTGCGGCAGCCAACCAAACAGCAATCGATACATATATGCCCAGTTTTAAGGCCATTCGACCCTCGCGCCACTCACAGGCCTGCACGCCACCGATATGCACGACATTTCATCATCTTACAGCAGACCTCGGCCTGCGACAAAGTACAAAGGGTGTTTGGGGGAGATCTTCTTCCACCAGTAAAGGATCTTTGCGACTGTCCTTTACACCCGATCCGGCTGGCAAAGCAGAATCCGACCACGAGAATGGGTAGAACTAAGCCGCACATGTCTGTAGAGCCCGCTGTCGGTGCTTGTGGACGACAGGACATGCGGCATACAGACCATAAAAACTCTCGTGGGTTTAGGACAACAAACCATGAAATACAGCAACCCATCTTTGTCCGATCATCACACTTACTTGAGCAATATCGTTCCCACCTTGGTGCGCTGCGTCCACGACACTATTAATATAAGGCGCCGCGTTGTCTCTATGTTGAAACAAAATAGCTATCACACAAACGCGTACGTTCGGGCCTTTCTCTTCATCATTGAAGGAAAACAAGGCGGGCGGCTTTAGACTCTCGCCGGAGCTATCCCCGGTCTGTTATTTGGTGTAGACAGCAATAGGGGCTTGCTGCGACGAGCTCAAAATGACCCCCCAGTGTCGCGTGAAGTTAAGCGTTCGAACTATCAGTCTGACACTTTTCACGCCCGTCCCCAGTACCCGCCGCCACGGTAAAGGGAGTACGTACAACTACAACGGGGAGGGGTTTGTACGGCGGGTTGTGCAGAGTCATGTTACACCGTCAGCTGGGACTGCCTCCCCGGTTGTCCGCGGCCTCCAGAGCAGCGCAAACTTCGTTGACAACCCTTTCGTTGCCGCACACCACCCGACCCTTCCCAGGCCTGAGCACAAACTCCGAGTTCCGCAAATCTCGCACGACGCCTTTCGCCTGGTTTCGATGTACGCAGCAGGCATTGGAAAAATGGCTGGGGACATGAAAAGGATATTCGGTTGGTGCGCTGTTGTAGTCGTTTGTCAAGGGGATTCAAGTCGAAGCGCCGCGATCCACCGCTGACGCCTACTACGAGAACACCAACCGCAACCCATGGAAAATGCCCATGCACTCGAGGAACGGAGACAAAATGGGCGATGTGAACATGATGACAACGTGGGACTGCATCTCACTCATGCGAGACAGGTCTGCACGAACCAACCAACGGCAGGGCCAAGTTGAATACTTCGTACAGCTCCTCGAGGCGGTCATTGGTAGCATCGCTCTGTCACGAACAGCCCTGAGTGGCCGGAGCACGAACCGCGACCCCGACGCCCCTTCGCAGCACTAGGAGAAACAATGTTGAGCAAAACAGCCGGAGGGGCCCCGCGGGTTGAACAGGGCCCCACCCACTGCCCGCGACAAAACGTGTCATGATGTTCAACGGCGCCAGCAATACTGTAGTGTTGCGCCAACCACAGCCGAATGAGCCTCACCTCTCTGACGATGACCAGACCCGCGGCGACGTCCCACGGTCCACCATACCCGTCTTCGTAATAGCAGTCTAGCTTCCCGCAAGCGACGTGGCACATGTTCAGTGCCGCCGACCCTGCGGGCGTCGTGTTTCGGCGGAGAGGGGATGAGGAGTTGACGTGGTGTACCAAAGGACGTATCTGCTATAACACACTGGCCATTTCTCAATCGATGGCACTTGAACCTCAGCTGTACGCACTCGTGGTTGTTGGCACGCTGGCGTACCGCAGATATGCGGGGGTGATCGCATTACAGTCGGTTTTGTCCAGCGGTCCAACCTGTTTCCCGTTCAACGTTTTTGAGACATTCGTTCTCGAGCATTTTCCCTTGCTGCACGCACAGCTTGCCCGCCACTGCCACCTACATCACCTACATGGGAGCTGCAAAGCCATGCTTCATACGGGGCGAGAGGTGCAAGTGTCGCGCTACTGAAGTTGCGTCCGTCACACTTACGCCAATGCTCATCTAGAGCGTAGCGGCGTCCGCTGTGCTCCGTGTCACACAACCCACAAACCTATTAGATGAATACCCGACTCGCCCGGCACAGTTGTAGTGATGCGAGATCTTCAGCATAGCGACCTTTGAGCATCATCATGACTACCCCTCCCCCCCCCCAAGCTCACCCGACATGCGGATCGCTTGCACATTCCTCCGAAGCAGCTCCGCGAGTCTCCCCAGAGTTGTCGCAATGAAGGCTTCGTCTCTGGCAGGTCCGATATTGTTGACCACTAGGGCATCGCCGAGTCCCTGCGCAGGTCGCACCTCAACCTTTACGCCATTCAGGAAGGCTCCCTCACCGCGGCACGCAGTGTACAGGTCCCCCGACACAGGGTGGTACACGACACCGATGACCGGCACACTGCCGGTGGAATTCAAGCCACGGGTGTCCACAACAGCAGTGTGTCGCCGTTACCGATCAAGCAGCAGGGGAGTAGACGGGAAAAACGAGGGCTTCTAGTGGCCGCGATGGCTGGGATGATCAGGAGGGCTCGATTTCTGGCAGTAAAAATTTGTGAAAATAACTTGGATATAACAGCGGCTGTTGCAAACCTGTTGTCGATTGAACAAGCCCGTAAGCTCTCGGTGGGGAATAATGGCGACCACAGATCGACATAAGACAACTTCAATGCAACATCTCTGGGCCTCGTTGTATACCGTAATAGTCGGAGAGATGGCACCGGTCGGGGAGATGGCACCGGGGTACGATAAAAAAAAAACGAGGAAAAAACATGTAAAGAAGCGATCGCACCCGTTGCCATCTCTCCGGCTAATACGGTATGCATGAAAAGTATCTTCGAAAACGATGCAGCAGAGTAAGGCGAAATTCGTGGAGACCTGCCCGAAAGCTCAATTCTGACTTCGTAGGGGGCAGTACTGCAGGTTGTCCCAAGCGAACAGGTGACGCGCGAGGCCTGGGGATCACAGCCGTGCGTTCCTCTCTTCTGGACAACGCACTGCCAGTCTCTTGGAATCTATGACGCAGACGCTCACCCATCCACAGCCAGCGCGATGCTGACACAGAAGAGCGGGTATCCGTGCACGAAATTAGTAGTACCGTCCAGCGGGTCGATCACCCACGTTGGGGACGTGCCGATGATGTCCGCGTCGACTGCTTCCCCACCACCGGCCTCCTCAAACGTGGACTCCTCGCCCATGAATTGGTGGTCCTTTTCTTCCAAGGAGATCGCGCGAACGCACGTCATCAAAACCAACGGCAATACGACCCGTAAAGGTGCGCACATGTAGGAGGGGGTGCGTCGAGGCAAGTAAGACGCACGGAACAAGAAGAACAACGGAGGAGTAGGAGCTACGGTTAACGGCAACCATCGACAAGCATCGATGAGAGGGTTGGCGTGACGATGTGTTCTCAGCGGTGTTGGTCACAACATCTAGCAAGACCATGATGACAACCGGATCAATTTCAGAGCGTAGAGTTTGCTTTCCCGAATTGTACATATAAATCGTCTCAACGCCATGCCCTGCCTCTTACTGGTGAGCGGTCGTTGGGACGGGAACGTTGGAGCGGCTTTGTTTGTCGTCTGAACAAGCATGAAGAACAGTTCCTGCACCGGGGAGGATGCGCGGCCGATGTTCCGCGTGTAAAAGGCCAGGAACAAAAGCTAACCCCTGACCGTACGATCCACCACTACCTTCCCCGCGTCATCGTACCGGATGCGACGCCCTCAGTCGTTCGATGATTGCTCTTTCGGCGGCCTTGTCTGTCTCAGTCACAAGATCGACGCCGCTCTTGACCTGGAGCTGAGAGTTCTCCTGGGACGAAATGGCCGCGGTAATGATCCTGATGTGCAGGTAGGTCGCCACGGTTCGGAAGATGAGACAAGACGAAGCGTGCAAATAGAATGACTACACGCTGCTGCAGCAGCATCTGAGTCTTTTCACATGAAGGACATGGAAAACACCAACGAAGGACTACCATACCCTCAGATGGTGTGCAGGAGCCCGTATGTTGACGGCTGACTGAGCTTACCCGGAGGTGTCCTTTTGTACCTCCGACAGTCCGACAGGTAGCAACCACCCGGCAAGAGGTTCTATCATATAGGCGATATTGTTTCCTCCAGGGGCATGGAAATGAAGATCTCGCCGCTATCGTCATCCTCAAATTACACTGCTGCATCGGTTCAATACGTTGTTACGGACGGTGGCGGCGTGTGTCTGCTTCTCTCGCTTTCTTGTAGTGTAAGACAACGCTGCCGTTTTGTCCCTTTTTGAAATGCTGAAGTGTCCTTATGTGCAGTAGATTAGGGAAAATAAATACACACACACACGGACTACCCGTTCGAGATATACCCACACTCGAACGGGATGTGGTGGAGTCTTTTCAGTGAGTGGAGGACAACCGGCTGGGTACACTACTTGTAGTAGATCCCGGAGATCATCGAAGGAACTGGCTTTCAAGAACAGAGGTTCTCAACCCACTTACAACCATGCCCAGTATCTAATTTGGGCGGGGATCGGTCGTGATTGTCATCCGTGGCATGGTGATTGCGAAGGGCTTGGCACAACCATGTGCATCCGCCCCCCAACCTCTCGTCATGGGTCATCAAAAGGACCTCTCCCCAAGGCAGTGTATTGATACAGTATGATGTTCCGAGCGAATACGTCACAAAACGTACGGAGCTCGCCTGATGATGTCCGTCTCGAAAAAACACAATGGGTATTCCGGCTCGCATGCATATAGAGCACTCACACCACTGCTTTATCACCCAGGTCCGCATGCTCCCCGACGGAGACGGGAGTCAAACATCACGGAACATTGTGTTATCCATACGCTACCTGCGTGGAGATTTAACCTGCCGTGTACCCAGTTCCCACAGCGCAGAGATCTGCCTGTTTGTGCGTTTCACAACATGATCCGCTTTCGAATTTCCATCATCCCGCTACAGGCGGTGGCACTTTCCACTGCAGGGCACACACTCACTCTCCGGCAGCTAAGGCTGCTGCCTTTGCCGAAGCGAGTGCCTCCTTGTAACACGAGGCATCCATTGCTCCTCGTCCTCCGCGCGGACGATGATGACCGAAAATCCGCCGAAACCTTGCCGCCTCTTGATTCCCTCAAGATGTAGACTCCCTCCGACAGCGCCCGCTGCCTCCCCTCTGCCTCCTCACACACCGACACCAACTACTGCAACTTGCATACACGAGGGGGGGTGCGGCAGGGATTTGCGTGCTTGGCCGGCTTCGGATATGTGTGGCGCAACAAGAGTTGTACAATGGATGCACATGTTGCCAAGAATGTCTAAAGGGCCTGGGGCGACGCAGACAGGAGCCACACGTACGTTTAATTCCGCCGCGAACAAGTACCAGCAGCAATCTCTGTGATGACTTGGGATCCGATATAACCGATCCTGCAACTTTCATCTGCCTATGCGGTGTGTGTGAGAGCGCATCGCGGATTGCGCGGCGGCCTCCCCACGCACTGAAGCTTTTGCATACTCGTGGTGTGCGGCGCGGTGCCGATTTTCTCTTGTTGGCAGAGGAAAAGTCCAGCCGAACCCGGGAAAGTGAGAGGAGAACTGCACTGCACGTACAGCAGCCGTCAGCAGCCGAGGAGGCTGAAAAACAATATAGTAGCACGCTTTTGCCGCGGCGGCTGCGCACGCCGCGCCCATAGCAGCATAGTACCGACAGCAGAAGAATGGCCGGGCAGCGTCGCTATGGCACGACCAAGGGCGACAAGCTGACCGGAGTCCGGGGCGGGAGCGGCAAGGCAAGCAAGGGTCCAAATGCGGAGCAACCGCGGGTGGCACGAGAGGCGAGAGCGCACGGCGGAGAGGAAGCCGGGCGTGAGCGCCCCGCCTCGGAGCGTGAACCGCTGCTCCTGGGGTCAACCGACGACGGCAACGGTGGGCGGAACCTCGGCGACTCGACCGACGTGTTCGCCCCGGGCAGCAGTCGCCGAGACAACAGCAAGGTGCTCACCACCCTCCTCGTCCTGAACTACATGATCGGGTCTGGCATTCTGAATTCCCCGCAGGTGTTCGAAGGGAGCGGCATCGGCCCGGCAACAATCCTCTACGCTGTCTCAGGTATTACGCCTTCTTCCCTGCTGCTGCTGTAGCGTGATTGGCGTATCCCTGCCACGTGTTATTGGTAGTGGTCCCTTTCCCACAGCCATTCTGCCTTGCGCGGCTGTAGAGATACGAAATCCTCGCTATTCTCCCCGCATCATGTCGTGGGTCAGCTTTTTATCGATGCAGTGACCGAAGGACCAACCGCGCTGCCTCTCGAAGTTGCGGATGCTCTGGGTGAGAAGGTGTGTCATCGGTGTCACACCAGCAGTCGACATGTTTTAATCCTGGCCAGCAGTGAGCGATACTTGATCACCTAACATGGCAGGTTTATCGCCGCCGGCACCACAATTTTTCATCATACGTCGGTGACGGCAGTTACTCCTGTAAGACTACTTGTATCCATCTGACATGTACAACCCGACAACTCTTTCACTTACAAATAACTCAAAAACCGGCTTGTCTCACAAACGCACGCCTCTCGATGTGTGCGTTCATTTCCACACCTCCGTTCTTGCACCCTGCGCTTGGTACCATTTGTTGAACCCCGTGGTTGCGACACGGCGGCAGCATCGTAGCATACTATTTGCTGCTGTACCACACACGACCACGACTTCAACCCCAGCGATCGCCCCCCCCTTCCCCCGCCCGGCAGCCGTCGCGATCTGGCTCGGCATCGTTGTGCTCATCAACGCCTCCGAGATTTCATTCCCCCAAGGGTACGCCCGAACCGGCACTAGTAGCGACAACGGCCCCAGCGAGCTGGCGGGAGGAAGAGGGGGCGGGGGCGGCGGCGATGCCGACCGCCTCGACGACATCGAGTTCGCCCAACTGGCGAGAGAGACCGTAGGTCCCCTCGGCCCGTTGGCGGTGGACGCCGCCATCGTGCTGTGCAACTTCGGGGACGTGTGCTCCTACGTTATCCTGGTGGGGTCTCTGACGGGCTCGCTGCTGCTGGAGTGGTTCGGCGGCACGGCGAGCGACGTGTGGTGGGCGTCTTTCTCGGTGGTGACGCCCGTCATGGCGGTGCTCTTCGTGTTCCCCCCCTGCCTCATCCGACACTTTAGTAACCTCAGGTAGGTGTGGGTGGGATTGGAGGAGGCCGGCGTTCGGCTGTTGTTGTTTGTTGTTGCTGTTGTTGTTGTTGTTGTTGTTGTTGTTGTTGTTATGTTAGTGTTGCTGTTGGAGTTGTGGCGTTCAAGTTTTGGCGGGTCAACTGACCAATCACATGGGCCACGTGACGTGCTGACCCGTGGTGGGCCTCTGGCTTGCTGTTCTTGTCGGTGCGAGCGAAGGGCGAGGTGTTGGTTATTAGTAGGGGGGTACCGCTGTAACGAGATAAATTATCTGACTTTTGGCCGTTCTCTTCGTTAACTACCACAGGATTGGCCTGGCTGCGGAGTACGCAGACGCGGGAAAACGATGGGGGGTAGAGGGGAGCTTCTGTTGTTGCCCGGGGGGTGGTCATTATAGAGAGAAAGGCGAACAAGTTCAGGCTTTGTTGGAAGTGGGATATGGAGTGGTTAGCCTGACTGGCTGCCGCTATTGTGCCTGCGTGACACGCCTTGGCGCATGAATCCCAGCGCCGACTGTCCGTGCCCCGGTTGATCTATAGTCAACCTCCTCCTCGCATGCCGATGCACTCATCACGGCAGCCCCTCTTTGTCTTCACCCCCCCCGCGACAGATGGCTCGCCGTCTTCAGCTTTTGCACCATCTGCTCCGTCGTAGCTCTCGTCGTAATCGGCGGGCCGATCTACGCCAACGAGGAAAGAGCGGAGCCAGGTCACGACCCGGACCTCGACGCTAGCGTGGTCTGGTGGGATTGGGTGGGGGCGGTAGCGAACCTCGGGTCGATCGTGTTCGCTCTGTCGTGTGCCCCGGCCGTGCTCCACGCTTACTCTTCGATGACACCGCGATCCACCAGGTGGGTCTTCGGCGGGGGCTCAAATCTGTTTTTTTTTTACGTGGGTGGTTGAGAAACCCGCGGTGATGGGAGTGTTTGGTTGCTGCGGCTGTTGTCTTCCCCTCCCCCCCTCCCCCCCCCGCCCATCGTCTCCTGAGAGTTTGGTGATTGTTGGTATTTGCTCCCCCCCCCCCTTTGTGAATGGTGGTCGAGTAGATTATGTTGTGGGGGGTCAAGAACCCTCACTCCGCGCAAAGGGGATAATCGCACCTTGTGTTAAATTGGTCAAGCACCCTCGAGGCAGTTTCACAGCGCTTTTAACTGTCTCTTGAAGTGAAAGTACCAGAATAGATATGAAGTCATACGCAGCTGTCATCCATACGCAAGGAAGTAAGCACAAGATGCCGAACACCCTCAGCAGGATACAGCGCACTCTTCATGCGACTCGCCGAATACCTCACGGCGCTTCGCGCTTGGTGATGTGAGAGCCTGGTCCGGTGAGAACCCGGCGTGCTCCGTCCCGGCTTTGTAGGGATGCGAGGTCAATGGTCTAACTACTACGGCATGCACGACTATGAGTACACCCCCCCCCCTTTTGTGATTTTCCCGGCCCGTCCGAGTTTAGGTATGACCGCGCCACGACCCCATGCACACTGAGTTACAGCACCCAGTCCAGACAGATTAACGAACCTGATTCACCAACAGCCATACGTTATAGAAATGCTTTCATCTTTTGACCCCGCCCCCCCGCCGCCTGCCTTTTGGCTCCTATTCTTGCCCGTTCTCCGTTTTGGATTCAGGGCATGGCGCTCGGTATCGACCTGGGCCTTGGGCGTGGGCGTCTGCCTTTGTTACTCCATGGGTCTTGCGGGGTGAGAAACGCTGCTGCCGCTGGCAAATGGGTTTTGCAGAAGGGGGGCCAGACGGAGGGATTTTTTACTCTGACACAGCACGTTAACACATCCTGACAAATACAATACGACGGCACTTCCCCCCCCCCCCAACTTTTTCACCTCCTTTCCCTTCCTCCCTCTATTAGGTACTTGTCCTTCCGCGACTCGGTCGACGGGGACATCCTCCTGAACTTTTCCGGCGCAATAGCGTCAGTGTTCAAGGCCGCTGTCGTCGTACACTTGATCCTCTACATCCCCAGCGAGGTGAGGTGTTGTTTTGTTGTCTAGGCCGTACCGTGGACGGTGCGACAAAAATATGGCAGTCTCGACGTTTTCCTCGGAGAAGACGAGCGCGTGTACAAGTACGGCATTACTTTTCCCCTTTTTTTGGATGGATGTCCGCAGGGGGTATGTTTTCCATTGGGTATTTAGGGGGATTTTTCGCATCGCGTTTTTCTCTGGCGCGAAGCGGTTCGCTAACACCCGACCTGGAACAAGGCTATGTATATAGCATTTTCGTTGCAGCTGGGACACGTGCTTCCGGCTTCCGGGGACAAGCTCATCGTACCACCTGCTGCTCTACCCCGATTTGTCTCTCGCGTAAAAATTGTGTCTGCTGCTGCTGCTGCTGCTGCTGCTGCTGCTCCTGCTGCTGCTCATACCATATGAGGTGTACAGTGTTCTCTCGTGATGGTTGCGCGCCTCAACTGCTTGCTGGCTGCCTCGCGACAGGTTATCGTCATGAGACATAGCCTCTACGCGCTGCGAGGGAAGGACGTGATGGTGGCGGAGTTTGGGCAGGTGGCGTGGGTCACGTTTGCGCTGCTGGCGCTCGCCGTGGGGGCCATGGTCGGCTTGAATACCGTCGGCGTTGCTCAGGTACAGTCACTCGTCATTTTTTGCTCTTTGCGCTGGTGCTTACATCTGTATTTTCACTGCTAAATTATGTATCGTGTTCATTGTTGTCACTACGTGGCATCATCGTCATCGTTGTTTTATTAATAATGTTAGGGCCAGCCCACAGTTGTCAGCTAGCTGACAGCTATGACGTTTTCCCCAAGGTCAACAGCTCACACAGTTAGCTGACATCATGTTTGACTCGAAGAGCCCAGCGAACGCCAACAAACGTTAACGAGAACACCCAATCACCAATCACAGATCTGCGTTCAGCCTAGTGTTGTCGTGCGTTCGTGACTCGAATTTGCGAAGCATTGACCGAGGGGATGTGGTGACCTGAAACCGTCGCGTTTCTTTTTTTGCAGCTTTCGGCGCGCAGCGGTTCGTAGCAAGCTGTGCCCGCGACATCCATACCCCGCCCCGGCTACGCCAGGACCGACTGATGATGGTTGAGACTTCGATGACGAGTCTCCCTCTCCCCATTCTAATTATTGGGAAATAGTATGCATTTGCCCAGAAAGACTAAATAAACACCCGTTCGAGATATATAGCCACAGCAGTCCAAGGGTGTATATTGACAGTGAGTGTTTTTTTTTTTTTTGCATCACCCCCCCCCCCTACCCCCCCCCCACCCCACCCCTTAATAATAAGGAAAAATGTTTGGATACATCTTGGACATCACCGGAGGGGTTGCCGCGTCAACCAAAAATTTCGTGCTCCCCGGCCTCATCTACCTAGGGGCCACTGGCGACAGGGAAGGGAAGGGGGGGTGGTGGAACCGGGGCCGGGGCCCAGGTGGGTGGCTGCGGGACCTGGGATTCT